AGTTCTCTTTGCTTTTGTCTGATATGCGAAATGTGAAGGAAAGGCACTCTCGGGTCGAAGCGATACAGAACTGTCGGTCCGGACTGTCGGCGCTTTTCTCCACTTTTGTCGACAAGAGATTGATTTTACAGATGGGAGTCCGCGAACAGTCGAGTCCCCACTGCGGGTATATCACCGCGAAATGATTGGCTGTCGTCTTGTAGACCATCACCAAAACCTTCTCCACTTTATTGACAAAATTGATGGGATTATTGCGATTTGGGATCAGTTCGAGGACTCCCTTGAATTTGTGGTTTTGCTCGACGCGTGTGTTTGAATACAAAACCATTTTTGCGTTACTTTTTCTTCGGTTTGCGATTTAAACAAAGTTACAAAAAATGAACGATTTTTTAAACGTTAACTTTTAAGTTATTAAACTTTTATGGAAATATTTGATGATTTAGCAAATTTTCCGTTCAATTTAATGAAGTGAATGACAAAATTATAGTTATATTTCAATTTGAAGACTAATGAACAGTCAGTCAAAGAGTCAAATGTCTGGCAAATTAATAACTGAGAAATAGTGAGAGACTCTCTATTTATAAGTTACTGATTATCGGAAACAGTGTATTATATGCACAAGAATTCGTTCAGAGAATCGCACAAACAGTTTCACTGATAACACAATACACACCAAAGCATACCATAAGAGACTTTAGTCCTAAACTCGCACTTCAGTATTGAAGAGATCAGATAATTGTCATCCAAATGAAATGCACGTGTATTTCAGTCGACACAAATGTTTTTTCCCCTCACAAGTTGTCAGTATTGCGGTTCACTATAAGCACAAAAGCACTTTTTTACCATAAACTATACTATACTGGACTAATAATCGCAATCACTTTTTAATATCTCTGTTATATATTGTGCTTTAAGGACTTTAAAGGAGACAACTTCTTGCTTGGTGATTTCCAAAAGAGGTGTGAACTATATTTGTGCTAATAATTATATGAGGCAATATAAGGTACTTTTCATACACTAATACTGCACCACAAGAACCATATAATGTACTGAATTATTATATAATGTATGATTTATTATAAATATATTTCGCTCTTTTAATCATATCTTAAAACAAAAGATATTTTTATTATTATTGTGTTTAACACACATTCATATAATGTTAAAACAAAACAATTTCCATGAATGATGAAAATCGATATCAGTTTTGCATAACTTTGAACGAAACTTAAACGTAAAAGTATATAACAACTATTATTATATTATATAACTTTTCTCTCATTCAGTTGTAAACCAAATAAAAGTTAAACACAGAATAAATATTATATATACTATACGTATGTATGCATACAGTATGAGAGGTAGAAAAACACATTAAAAAATAACATGTATGTAATGTTGCAGTGACTGCCCTTATTTTACGGCTTACGGCGCCTGTAGTTTGTTTTGTGTATAATAACTGAATGCAAAAATGTTTGTGTCGGAGAAAAACTTGAAGCAAAACTTTGGGAAAACTTTGTGCACAACTTTGTCGGTCACATGAATTAAAACTACTATTTCTTTTAAGCGAATATATTGTATAATCGTATTGAAAAATGTGATGAATTAAGTCATCATTTAGTTCATGAAAAATCAATTATAGATTGTTTTTTTATTTGGTCGGGAAAACAGTTATTCGTTCTCTCACTATATTATACCAACACTTGTCTCGAAATGTTTACGCTATAAACACAGACTAGAAGTGGTTTTTGGGTATTTTGTCACTCATTTCTTGTCTCAGAAATCGATGCTTTTATAATGGGTTTTCCACTCGACTCTAAAATTTTTGAAATGAATAGTTTTGTCGCAAAGAGTACTGGTTTTTGAAGCGAAAATATTTTAAATATCTGAAAAATGTTAAAAATAACTTTTTTCTTTCTTTCTCTTGAATAACTTGTCGGCACTTTATTTTCAGTAATGAGTTGTGAATACAGAGAAATGACAGAATAAAAGTAACACAAAATATATAATATTTTAGGCCAAATGTCACAAAAATAAGTCATATATTCAATAATTAAGATTAGGTTTGAATGCAATGTTTGAATCCAGATATAGAATTGTGTAATAAATAATATGCCTGATTAAATATCAACGATTATCTCCCACTTTCTTGCATAATATGTCGTATATTTAGTTGTATTCATTGAACACTATTGATTTTATAATAAAATTTTTATTATACTTTATAATCGTTTGTATCAAATAATAACACCTTAATTGACGGCTCTTATGAACGCATTTCATTCTTTGGGATTAGATTTTAGGTAATATTTTTAACTATATTTCACTTTTAATGTATCATAAATTGATTGTTAACACTATAAGGGTTGATAAATAAGATATGGATTTGTACTACTATTGTTATTCACAAAAATATGAATGAAAATAACATTCTTCATACATCTAATCAATTATTTTGTTTGCATTTCAAGTAATAAATTAAGAAATATTTTTATTATGACTCAAACTTCACGTATACATTAGATTTCAGTTATAAAAAAAAGTATTTTTAATTACAATAATCTTCGGATCGTTGAGAAGAAATAATGTTTGCATTTAATTAAAGGCAAAAGTGTTACAAAATGGGAACAAAAGAAAAAACTAAAATAAATTCCTTTCAATTATATTCTCGACAAAAGCAAAGAGAAAATGAGAGAAAAGTATTTATCGACGAAAACTATTTAACAAATTAAAACAGAAATAACAGCACAAAAGTTTTTTCTCTCTCGGAATCAATTCAGGCCTCCATTGAATTGAAAGCCGTTTTTGTTTATTGTATATTATAATAAATTAAGTTTATTATACACATAATAATTAAACTTTATTAAACTTTTATTTTCCGACAAAAATATGTTTACAAATACACTGTTTTATAAGCATATAATTTTAGCAATAAGGTTTATATTTAATTTAGTAATTTTTAGTTGAAAAATACTATTTATACTTTCACTGTCATTAAAAATATCGCTAAAATTCCTCGTATTTTAATTTGAAGACAATATTTTGAATAAACATAAAACAGTTGTTTTGGATAACTTTTGCAATACATTTATATAAACACTTTACTTGCATTAAATTACTATTTCATAATATTTTTCTGTCAACAATAATAATGAAAACATATTAATTAGTAACTAATACTTTGCTTTCATAACAAATCGGGTGTGAAGTTAAATAGTTTTCCTATTAGGCAGTCATTGATGAGTGATTTAAGACATATTTCATTCACAACCAGGCATTTAAAAAGGCATTTAAAAACCTATTTTGATTTTTAATTGAATTTTTCCCACAAACGAAAAATATAAACAAATATTTCCGCACTTATGCTGAATGACTGAATTAATAGACGACTTATACTTAAAACCATTTAATCTGAAGATTAATGGTTGGCCTCATCTCCAGTATTACATAGATATTAAATCATTGAATAGTGAAGTGTTTTTGTGGGGGTTTAGTGGGTCTGTGAAAAATCAATTTCTGGTGACTTCTCTGTATTTTCAAACCATGTTATTAATCGTCCGCACAGTTAGTGCTCTGAACTCTTGATACCAATCCATAAGCAATTAATACTTAATATGGTTTTGTTTCACTTATATTTTTTTGTGTCTGTTTTATAAATGTTTTTATTTTCATGATTAATATTTGTATTTTAATTTATTATATAAACTGTTTAATCAATTATAAAGGGATTTCTTTTGGACGTTAAAAAACAAGAGAAATAAAACTTCAAATAATGAGTTCAATAAATGCATATAAAAAGTGATTTTCATTTAAAGAGGAGTGGCGTAAATAAATTGTGATTGAATTTAAATACAGATTATTTTGAATTGAGACCCAATTTTGCGAGTGTTTACTATTGATATACGAATAAATTTATACACATTTTATAAACAGTGTTTTATATTTGATTGAAACAAGAAATTGTTTTTGTTTTATATATCTTATTATGTATTGAATGATATTCTTATTACATAATATTAAGTATAAATATTATATAATAAATGCCAAATACAGTGTATAAATTCATTATGAGGGTATATAATGAATGAACAGTAACATTTTTGTTTGCTTTATATCATAGTAACTGATATAGTATTTGTATTGAGCAGTTTGGCTGACATTTGATTAATTAGTGTTTAGTGTCTCCTATTTAGCTATTAGTGACCCAAATATTTATTAAAACTTTTAGCTCAGTTTCGCTCAACAGTGTGTATATTGTTTGTGATATAATACTGTAATTGAAATCATAGGTTCTGTTTATAAAACAGTGTAACACCGAAAAAATGAGTGCTCTTTAATTGCTTGAATCATATTTGACTTCATTTCCAGTGAAAAAATAGTTACTTTTGTCACATATTTTCTCTCGTTTTCGTTTCAAATGAGCAAAAAGTCTCGTTTTCTTTGAGCCAAACGTCTAAATATTTGACTCATTTTTCCTGAATTTTTTCGTGGAAAAGACAGAATTCATTCAAACTATTTATTACAATGACTGCAGAAAAAGTTATTTAAACTTCTTATTAATAATTATTATATACATTATGTATGTCTAAAAGGAAGCGGATTTGTGACAAATGGTTGTAGTTTTTTGTGTGATTATGTAATTAGTTTGAAATCATTTCATGAGAGAGAGAGAGAGAGAGAGAGACTGTTATTATTATTATTAGTGGGAAATTACTATTAGTTTGAAATCATTTCATGAGAGAGAGAGAGAGAGAGAGAGAGAGAGAGAGAGAGCATTTCTGTCAATGAATTCCTATTTTTATACACAATTTAAATAATTTTTCCACTCAATAAATATTATGTCTAATATCAGTACTAAATGTCTATGACATTAGTTTTTAGGCTTAAAACAAAGTTTACTTTATTATAAACACTGAAAAAACAAAGAATCGTTTTGTGTTTAATCTAGATTTGTAACCAAAAAGTCATAAACAGTACATTACTGAATGAAAAAACGATAGTGATTTTTATCATTATGGTTAATTTAAAGTTATGACACCATATGTGATGCAAAACTTAATAAACACAAAGAAAAACTCAAACTTAATTTAATTTAAACGATTTTTTCGAGAATTTTCATGTCTTTATTATTACTTTTATGAAGTATTTTTGGTGTTTCCAGTAATTCACCGCCGATTCAAACCAA